TATTGATCATAAACAAGAAAATGCCAGAAATATTTCCAAAATTCTTCTCATTTTTTCTGTTAAATTTTTATTCGAAATGTTCACTATATAACATTCAGTTTATGCGAATAATATTCACCACTAAATCACAGTGCATTCACAAGTGAGTATATTATGTTGAAAGCTAATTGTAATGGTAATATTAACCATTTCCTTATAAGGAAACATTTGGCATTCATTCACTGAAGAGCTAATACTATTGTATATCAAAGGGCATACAGCCATATCATATGTTGAAACACTGGTTCTCTCACAACCAAACTTTTATGAACACTTGTATTATTTACAATATTTGGACTGTTATCCCCATCTTAATTGCCATATTCACAAGGTTTCGGCTATTGTACAGTCCAGCCTTCTTCAGGTGACTGGAATTTCAAACTATCAAAACCTTTGTAGGTTATTTAAATATAAAGAAAATATTTTTAGATTATAAATTTTTTGAGCTAATAATCATTTAGTTGTACAAGACTTACTAATTAACCCATAGCTGGGGGGAGAATAGGTGGATTCCTACCTAATTAGAATTTGATAAACAAGAAATTATAATGTGGATATAAAGTGAGGGATCAATTCTATAATATAATCAATATATAAACTTATCCCTCACTTTGTGACCATGGTAGTTTTTATACATTTATATTCCAGAGAATCTAAGACATGCCTGTGTAGCTAATCAGTATTTGATTGATTGATGTGTTTTCTATGGCTCATCAGCCCTTTCCAGGGTATTTAAAACCAGAAATGGTTTTAGTGATAGATGTGATGCTTTGTCATGCAGGAGGAGCTCAAGGTTCCCTGGTCACAGAGGTCAAGGCAGACCTAGGAAGACATGAAAGGACTTCATTGGAAGGGATGTGCAGGAGTACAACCTTGCCCACATTAGCTCACTTTAAGAAGTGAGAACTAGCTGGCTGCTGCCTACCAAAGTAGTATAATCAAAGCTCCAGCTCTTGACTTGTCTTACAAATCAATCCGTAGTTGAGTAGAGGAGAGCTGGATTCCTACCTTTTCCAGGAGTATTTGCTCATAAGTGAATATAACAAACCCAACAGGATTTGGAACTCAGCTCCCTGATTAACAATTCTGAGCCATTATCCACTGCTCCACCTACACAGACATACCAAAGCAGTAAAAGGTACTAACTTCAGTGATCATACTGGAACCAATGTTTTAACATGATGTGTCTATAAAATAATAATTGTATTTATTACCAAATAATTTCCAGAAAGTTCATTAAAATCTTTTGATTATCTGATTTTTTAGGGTTTAAATTATTTTTTTGTCTCCAACTTAATGATTTTATTGCACAGTGGAGTAATGGATAACGGCTCGGATTGAGGAATCGGAGAGCCAAGTTTGAATTCCAGTCAATTCCATTACATTCACTTATGTACTAATACCCTTGGGAACGGTATAAATCCTCTTCTTCTCCCCCACCTATGGATAAATAGCAGGACAAACTGGATTCTATAGCCTTGGATGGCAACTGGTCTACTGCAGAAAGAAATGGCAACCTACTGTGGGAAAAAAAAATCTACCTTGTCAGTCATATATCGAAAGATACATGATCGCCTAAGTGTGTATCACTCATGGCATTTAAATAACTGAGGGTAAAGGTTGTCTAGAATGGGAGGTGAATGTATTATTCTAATGTCTTGTTTCACACTCAGTGAAATTGTTTATGTGCTTGTGTACACATTAAATAGCACATGCAGATCTCAACCACAAAGCAGATATACACATAAATATCACATACACATATACAAAGTCACACGCAGACAGTGTGTGATGGACAGAGATTCAGTGCTTCTTTTATATTAGATTTACTGTTCACTTAACTAAATTAGGATATTAATCAGTTTCAGGTGGAAACATGCAATGATGTTTAAGTCTGAAAGCAAAAGATATTTTGGGAATTTGTCCTTTTTTTATATATAATTCCAGTTTACCAAATTTTAAGATATTCCTAATGGCCGCCTCATAAATATTTTATTGTACCACCAAGACCTTCAAGCACTTAGCAGTATTTCTATGTATGTACATTCTCAGCAGTTTTACAATCAGAGCAGATATGTCTTAAAATACTTTCTTATTCTTTGCAGTAATCTGACGGGCAAAACTTCCAAAGTCTGTCAAGTTTCCCCGAGCAGGAAGTAGGTCATAAGAAGCTTTTGTCAAATCCTTTACCAAATCCTTTCAACATTACAGCATTTTGGAATGCAAATAAGACTTGATTTCCTCTTCTGGAATGGATTGCCAACAACATGTGTTCTTCAAGAAGAAATCTCTGAATTAAATTCTACCTCAAAGATAATTACGCACTGGAATATTCCATTATTTTATCATCCAATCATGTCAGATTTTTTTTTTATTTTTATATGTAATTTGTTTCTCAATTTGAATTTATTTTTATCTCTTTTAATTTTTAATTAAAAATACCCATGATTATTTTACAGGTAATAAAATATTGTATTTTGATTTTGTTTTCGCAGTTTCAATAATAATTATATTTCATAGCAGTTTTAAAATAAAATAAAACAAAAAATGAAAAAAAAAGATTTTACCAAAAGTTCAACTGGAATTAAAAAAATTTTAAATAGAAAATTAGTCCCCCTACCAAGCAGTAAACTAAATCAAGATGTGTACTAAGTATAGTAATTTCAGTTGGAAATATGAGATAATGTTTCTTTGAAGTTTCAGACTCAAAGACATTTTTAACAAAATTGGCCTTCTTTATAAAATTCCACTGATATATTTTAAGTTATTCCTATTGGCCACCTCATAAATATTTTATGATACTATCAAGACCTTCAAGCATATAGTTGTATTTCTATATATGTATGTTTTCAGTAATTATACAGTCAGAGCAGATATTTTAAAAAATTATACAGTCAGAGCAGATATTTTAAAAAATTATACAGTCAGAGCAGATATGATTTAAAATTTCCTATGCTTTGCATTAATCTGATCGGCAAAATTTTCATAAGTTTGTTAAGTTTCCCCGAGCAGGAAGAAGGTCATAAGAAGCCTTTACCAAATCCTTTCAATATTCCACCACTTTGGAATGCAAATAAGGACACATGGCACAGTGGATAAAGGTGTTAGTTAGATCCAATGACAGGACCCAAAGAGTGTGAGTTCAATACCCAGTTAAGGCAGTGGAGAACTTTCAGAGGGAAATTAACAGGAGATAACTGATAACTGACATCCATCAAACATGCCACGTGGAACTAGAACAGTCTACCCCAGTGAGCGAAATAAAGGGTTCAGTTCGACATTCCAACCAACTGAAGAAGGCCAGAGCGTAGAACGGCCGAAACGCTGTAATAAATATGACGACAAAGATGAGGAAAATAGTCCAAATAATGTAAATAGTGTAAATAAGACTTAATTTCCTCTTCTGGAATGGATTGCCAACAACACGTGTTCTTCAAGAAGAAATCTGTCATGATATGTTATAGTAGTATTCACAAGTTGCTCACATTTGCTAATTGCAAAAATTTCTGCACCTCATGGCTATTTGAATTTATACAGTATCCTTTGTCCATATGCAAATAATCAAACTCTCACTTTTACAAAGCATTACACCCCCCCTGCCCGTAAGAAGGGGCTTTATGCCCTTCGTTAATCTTTTGCTGCTTCAACTCTTGGTTCCTTTTTTTGTGTAATTTCCTTGTAATACTTCTGTCTCTCTTTCCACAGTTCTGTTGTCTTTCAACTGGTTGGTACCATTACCTACATGATGCAACTCAACCTTAAAATTTCAGGGTCCTCTTGAGCTAACGAGCATCCTATTGGTGATGCAATTGTCATGATGTGTAGTAGTGTTTGAAAATGGCTCACAAAAATTTCTCCTCCACATGACTACTTGGATTTTTATAGTGTCTCTTAGCCACATCTAACAGATCAAACTCTTACAGTCACATATCATTAAAGAATCTCAGATTACAAATTCCACCTCATAGATAACTTGGCACTGCAGCATTCCATATTTCAATATCCAATATTGTTAGAATCTAATTTATATTTTTTTAACAGGTAATTTCATTTCTCAATTTGGATTTATTTTCAATTGTTTTAAATTGATAATATCTGTTACTTCTTTAAAGCTTTTAATTTTGTTTTACCTGTTTTAATAACAATTTTATTTTTTATAATTCCAATCTAGAGGAATGACTGCTAAAAAAATTCCCCTCACCAAATTTATAAACGAATTAGACAGATGCATGATTGGATTTCTTTCTAACCAATAAAAATGGACCACTTCTCTGTCTCATTCACCATATATTTTTTCTTTCTTGTCTTAAAGACAGAACACTATAATCACTGAACTGTATCCCTTTTGCATGGGAACACCATTCTTACTTTGTGAACCTTTTGCCTTATTACTATTGCTTTGCCTACTTTTGACTTGCATATATATTGTTTGCTTTGTATTATTTTGCCCTGTTATTTTTCTTCTTTTTCTTATTGTTGATTGAGAACTTTGTCAATTCCATTTGTTGAGCAGTTTGCTGATTCCAGTTACCCATGGACCCTACAATATTTTATTGCAATTTACTGAAAGTGAAAATCAAATTAAATAAAATTTGAAAGGGAAAATTAGTCTCCGGCTAAACAATTATCTAAATCAGGATGTGTATCAGTTAAAATAACTTCAGTTAGGAATGTGATCAATTGATTCTTTTTTATGGCTTCTCAACCTTTTGAAGGTTATTTAAAGCCAGAAAATATTTTTTTAGATTGTAAGAGTTTTTTGGCTTTTTTTTTTAGATTATAATGATTTAGTGAGACAAATCTTACTAATTAACCCATAACTGGGGGAGAAGAGGTGGATTTATACCTTTCCCAAAGGTAATTGTATATAAGTGAATATAACAAACCCAACTGAAATTGAAACTCAACATTCTGATTAACAATTCTGAGTCATTATCCATTGCACCACCAATACATTCAAGATTACAGCACTTGGTATTCCTGAGCGGTTACCCATCTAGGTACTAACCAGGCTCCCATTGCTTAACTTTGGTGATCATATGGGAACCAATGTTTCAATGTGATGTCTATAAGCTTCTTTCAAGTTTCAGATGAAAAGATATTTTAGGGGAAATTGGACATCCTTATAAAATTCCCCTCTGAGTAATTCTAATTTATTCCTATTGAGCATCTCAAAAAATATTTCAAGATGTTCAAGAACTTGGCTCTATTTTTACATTTCTACATTCTCAGCAAATTTTACAAATCAGAGCAGATATGTTTTAAAATACATACTTCCTTACACTTTGCATTAATCTGATGAGCAAAATTTCTAAAGTCTATCAAGTTCCCTGAACAGGAAGTAGGTCATAAGAAGCTTTTGTGAAATCCTCTACCAATTCCATTCAACATTTCAGCATTTTGGCATTTATTTTTAATCATTTCACCCCAAGCAAGACAATAAAGCCACTAAGAGACAAAGGGTTACTGAGTGTTAGAGAATATGAGAAAAAAACACTATTAAGTAGAGAGAATAAAAAAAGAAAAAGAATTAAGACAGAAGATAAAAAGAAGGCTGTTTATGTGAAGGTAACAATTGACATTGGATTTTTTTAATCATTTCAACCCAAGCAAGGTAATAAAGCCACTAAGACACTTATGTAGGAATAAAGTGTTGCTGCCAACACTGGAGTTTGAACACAGATCATCAGAGAGACAATTCCATTTTGAATAAGTATAACACATGATGATAAAGGAAATGTAAATATGGGAATTAGCATGGCATCTAAGTGATCACTATACGGATCACTATTCGGTGGTTACTTTTCGAGCGAGAATTACTGAGCAAGTACTATTAGTGCTAGTGTTATTCAAAGGTGCCTGACACTAGTATTGTTTCAACAGTGTTACTATTTGTATCTGCAATTACAAAGTCTCTACTACAACAAGCATTACAAAAGTGGCAACGAGTGCTCGTTGACATCACAAAAGACACAAAGAGTTATTGACTATTAGAGGTGTTATACACACCTATTCTATAGTTAATAGACTCTCCCACCTAATATAAGTAGGAGTAGTAAGAGTAACGAGTCAGTCACTAAGTCGCTCGGTGAGTCACTCAGTCAGTCAATGCCGGACGGCCGTTAGTCGGATGTTAAAGTATCAGCCACCACAACTAGATTTCTCTGCGTAATTACCTATTATATGAAGTTCCTAACGTTTTGTATGTCGAACCTAATTTAGGACCGACTTAGTACAAATACAAGCCTCCACTGTGAAATCACTCCACAACAAGAGGAGAGAGAATAATAAAAGAACAAGAATTAAGACAGAAGATTATGATTGATATTAAATTTAAATTTTTGAAGATCAAAATTAAGTGGGAAGCTGGATGAGTTGCACAAACAAGAAGTGCAATAGAAGAATCTGTTAGCACAAAACTTAGATCTACCAATTTCAACTGTAAACTGATGAGACATTGCCACCAAGCTAGTAGTGTGTTTAAAGTCTACATAGCATAGTAGAAAGTGATATTTATTCTGTTTAATACAGAAATGTGGCACAAGGCCAAAGGGGGGATTGGGGAAAGGACGGTCTTCTTCTGTCTTAACTATAACTTAGCTAGCCGCAAACACTGACCCAATCGTATGAACAATATTCCTTACACCAAAACAACACATTCATACATACCTTTCTTACTACAATCACCATAATACCTCTTTGTCTCTATGAAAATACTAACTAGTCCCCATATTTACAATTCATTGTCTGTGGGAGGAGGGGAATAAAACAATTAACAATTACCATGAAAGTATTTATAGAAAAGACACAGGGAAGCAACTTGACAATAAAGTAACTGAAGTTCAAATGCCAGGTCAGGACCAATAACATTGCAGATTCTTCTTTGGATTTTATCAAGAATCTCTAAATACACAGCAAGAGCGCCAGACCAAATATGGCAGCAATATTCAAAGTATGGATGAATGGTAAACTTATAAATATGCAAGACAGATTCTGGAGAGAAAAATTGTCTAGCACAACATAGCAAACCAAGTTTCTTCGCAGCAGACCAAGAAATTGATCCAATATATTCTTTCCACTTCATGTCAGCAAATAAGATTAGATTTGCTCTTCTGGAATGGACTGCCAACAACACATGGTCTTCAAGAAGGAATTTCTTGTTAAAATTCTATCTCAAAGATAATTAATAGAAATAGATAAGTTTGCCTATTGTCCAGTTCACACTCCTCCCTGGTGTTTTGAACAGGAGTAGGGTTTATCTCTTTTTCATGTTTAGGATCATCTTTCTGGTTCCTTCTAAAAGTCTTTTTCAATTTCTAAAAAAACATCTCCATCTAAATCAAAATGAACCAAAATTAAAAATATATTTTTTTTTCCTCAATAGGATATATTTGTTAGATAAGTTTATATATCATCTGGTTCACACTCCCATTTGGAAAATTTTTGAACAGGAGTTCATCCCTTGTTTCTTGTTTAGGATTGGGTTTCCAGTTCCTTCTAAAGTCTACTTCAATTGTATATTTCAAACTATACTTTCATTCACTAATTAAATCTTGACATCTTCAAGTGAAGAATTAGCTGGTATCTTTTTGCATAATCCCAAGAATTTCACTTCATGCTCTTTCTTACACTCATACAACTCCAATCAGTAATCCTCTACCTTGAGTGGCCCTTGAGCATTTTATTGGGTAAACATTAGCATTAGCAATTAAGCACTGGAATATTCCATTGTTTTATCATCCAATCATGTCAAATTTTTTTATTTTTATATGTAATTTGTTTCTCAACTTGAATTTATTTTCATCTTTTTAATTTTTATTGAAAGTATCCATGATTTCTTTACAGATAAAAAAAGATGAATTTTATTTTATTTTCCCTGTTTTTATAATTATTTTTTATCACATTTTCTAATGAAATAAAAGAAAAACTGAAAAAAAAAAACAAAAAAAAAAAAGAATTTACCAAAAGTTGGAAATATGAGTTGAAATTTCTTTCAATTTTTTGACAAATCCAAATATATTTTTGCGAAATTGGCCTTCTTTATAAAATTTTATACTCAAAGAAAATTCTAATTTATTCCTACTGACCATCTCAAAAAATATTTTATGGTACCATTGAGACCTTCAAGCTGTATATCTATATTTGTACATTCTTGGCAATTTTAAAACCATATTTTCAAATACTTATATACCAACACTTTTAATAAATGAGATAAATTTTTCCCAAGTTTGTTAAGTTTGCCTATTTTTATCTATAGACCATAAGAAGCTATTGTCACAATCTCCATCCTATTCATTAATTGTCTCATAGAGGTTTTTTAAAAAATCAAACTATCTTTGCCAAAACAACTTCTTTCTTAGCTACATTGTTTCACTTTCCAAAAAATCATCAAAAAAAAGACACATAGTCTTTTAAGAATTCCAATCACTTGAGGAGTCTCCTTTATTTTTTCATTAATAAAGAGCCCAGCTGTGGTTTATATTTCAACAATGCTGAGCAGACCTTAATTTTAATGTTTGGGAATTTTTGTTATCTAGAAATTCAACAGTTTAAAAAATATTGAACATGCAAAAGCCCTAATGGGATAAGACTTCTCTTAAAATTAATTGATTTTTAAAACTAAAAAGAATATCAACAATTTCCGTCTGAAATTTTTTCTTCAAAAAAGGCCAAAAAAGTTAAGTGGTATGGTTTTCAGGAACTTTCCATTTTGCTACATGCTGGAAATTTTTTATTCAATTTAATCACTTTTAACATCAGAAATTTTTACCTTCCTAACAAATCAACAGTATAAAATTTCATACATTTTACCCGGATCTCATCAATGCATAAAATTTTTAAAAATGATTTGGATAAATGTATATATATTTAAACAATAGCTATATATAGAAAAGAAACGATTCATGCCTTTCTCCATTACATTTACATGTTTAAAATGAAAAAACAGAAAGGCCAACAAATGTATTTTTTTTTTTCTGTCCTAATAACCATTACACTACCCATGGATCCATTCTTCACATAGCCAGTTTATACAATAGCGCCTAAAGAAAAAGTGCCACACAATTGACATGTAGAGACACAAATGTCATGCTTGTTTCAATAATTCAATCTTTGCCTGACACAATATAACATTGCTTCTGATGCTTGTATTCTGTGCATCTGTTTAGATTCAATAAATCTAAGTAAAAGAAGCCAACATAACATGTAATGTCAGTGCCAACTACCAAAATGTCTGACAGTCATAGAAATCTCAAGTGTCTCCTTTCCTTATTTTAATGAATATATATAGACACATATATATACTAGTAGTATAACCCGTCTTCAACAGGGTCTTTCTTTACTGGGAATATTTGTTGGAGCAGTTTAAGTTTAAAGTCAACCCACCCAAAAATCAATATTAGTAACAACTGAGACACATCCCCAAATGGGGGTTTAACAATTTAAATGGGGGTGGTTCTGAAAATGGCCATTTTGGCATTCTCAATCTTGCAAGGAAAGAATTGCGTCATAATAATAATAATATACCATAATTTTTATTTATAATATATTTCTTTTTTATAATTCTAACAATCTTTTGCATTAGATTCCAACTCTCTAAAGTGATTATATGCTGTTTTTTTACATTAAATTAAATTTTGTCTTTAATTTAAGAAAAAAGCAAAGTGTATAAAATCAGTTTTTTGATTTTCACCTTCAAGGTTGGAATTATTTTTCCAGCCAATAAAAACTCAAAACCAACTATTTGAAAAATTATCTATCAAAAAAAAAATTCCATGGAAATCAGATGAAAACTGGAAACACATTAAACAACATCCGATCACACACAAATTTTGAAAATTATATATATATATATATATCATATATTTTTTAGCCAAGTTTTATTTTTTTAAAAAAATTTTCTAAATGATTACAATCAAGGGAAAATAAAAGCTATGAGGCAAAAATTGAAATAAATATTTATAGGCATAAAAAATTATACCAATATGAATTTTTCCCCTCTTAATTTTTTGTTGAATAAATATTTAACAATGCATATCAAGGTTTGTGTTAAAAAAATTT